ATCAGGATTTGCTCAAGAAGGAAAAATGGATGTGGATTACGGATTAGGGGACATTTGAACAAGAGGAGCAAGGAAGGGAGGAGTCCACCCAGAATGAACTTCTCCTGGCAAGCTTCTTATAAGATGTCAGAATAACAGTCAAACACCAAGTGTTGGCCAGGAACGAGTCAGTCTCATGACACTAGCACAAGCCTGAATTATTTAATCATAACAGCAATCTTCTGAAATGGCTGGCCCAACATAGCAACGCATCTAGGGAGTCCAGAACTGGACTTAAAACCCAGATACCTGACTCCATGGCCTGAGTAGGTATTTGGTGGCCACATTCTTCAGAAAGAGATTTAGAGGCAGCTGCCTCCTGCCTCCTCTCACTCCTGTCTCTCAGCTCTCTGACATTGGGATAATGGGGCCATGCACTTCAGCTGAAAGTGAAGCTGAAGCTAATGGAAATTAAAGTCTATGCAGCACTTGGGAAGTCAGCTCAGTTATCCCCACAGCTCCAGCTGTGCTCATGGGTACCCAGACTCTGCCATCGCTGTAGAATCTTCCTCAGTCTGTGATGAATCTCTTTCTGGGACAGCAAGTCAACAGAACATTCTTTGAAGTGATTGTTGCTAAAACTGTATCTTTTTTCTAGCCCTGGTGTTCTCCTTTAGGGTGATGGATCCCCAAGCAAGTAGACAGTAACCAAGAATTACTACAGAAAAACAGAGAAGGGTCCGTTAACCCCCTGGCTTGTAAGAGGCCCTTGTGATTAATACATTTATTTTCTTGTAGATGAATGTCCCATAGCAAGAGGCAATGATTACCAAATATTGGATAGGTCCCTGAGTAACAAAACTGTACTAGAGTGCTTTGAGTATTGCAACATCTGGATTCCCAGAATCTTAGTTCATTGTGAGTACTAAAGGACTGCATTAGCTCAAGCACAGCTGAAGAATACAAGATGGGAACCTCAACTTTTAAAAAGCCAGAAGGCTTTAGAAAGTATTATAATTACACAAATCAATTCAATCTACACATTATTTACTGTGTGGCAGATACCAAGCCCAAAATAAGACATGGTAATAACAAAAAACAAAAATTTGCCTATCCAATTGGAGAAATGGACATGTATGAAAGATGATCACCTTGCAATAAAAAGGCAAGAAGCAGGCAGCACAAATTCCCAAGAAGAAGTGATAGATTGCTCTCCCTAGGGAAAGATGTTAAATGAGAGATCTGGGAAGGCTGCTGAGAGGAAGCAACATTTGCTTTTAGTTTTGCAGATTGAGGAAGACTTTATTCTCCCCCAGAAAGGAGAATGGGAAGAAGCATCATAGATGGAGGGGTGAACACAAAAGCATTCAGGCCTAAATTCAGCTGTCTCGGAGACTCCCATGGGGCAGATGTTGAAGGGCCTTGTCCACCACGCTAAGGACCGTGGGCACCTTGTAGGAAGTGAGGTAGCACCTAAGTTTTGAGAGCTGAGCTATCAAAGCAGAGTTCTCCTTTCAAAAGTCAGCCATGCGGATGAGACTGGACCAGACATGGCCAGCTGCTGGAGGCTAGGATTGTAGCATAGAATCCTAGCATAGAGTTAATGGGCCTCCCTTGGGCACTGAGGGTTGACTGCAAAGAGTGGACACGGAGGCTCTACAGATGTCACAGAAGGCCCCAGCACCAGGCTGAAGACTTAGCTCACTGGTAGAGTGTTTGCCTAATAGTCACAGGGCCCTGGGTTTGATCCAACTACTGCATAAATCCCAATGCAGTGGTGTCCCATTCCAGTACCCAGAAAGTAGAGGCAGAGCAATAAGAAGTTCAAGGTCACCCTCACTAGTCCAAGGCTTGTCTGGAGTACAGGGAACTGATGGCAAGAGGAATGTAACTGAGGGCGCACGCGCACAAGAAAGCAGGAAGTGAGGTCATGGCCTGCCCTGGGGTATCCTTACACCATACCCACAATCAGCTCAGAATAACGTTAGGGAACCAAAATCGAAGTGACTGAAGGTGTGCCCAGGACCAGCTATAGCCACAAAGCCTTGCACTGGAGGCTCCATACCCTAGCTTCTTACCTTGCACTGGGCCTGGGGACTGTGGTCACAGTACAGCATAGTTACCCCTCACCACCCCACCCTGCCTGATGACTGCCATCTCTTTCCAGATCTTTTCCTTGTGAAAAAAAAAACTCCTCTCGGCATGCCATCCTCTCAGCCTCCCTCCCTTCCAGAGCAATCCTCTCCTCCCACTCCCCATCTACTCCCATTCACACATGGTATCTTGCTAGAAATAGCGAGAGTAGGGCAAAGTGCAATGAATCAAAAGCGAGGGCAATCCATGTTCCCAGCCTAATTTAACTCACCAGCTGGCTGTAGGCACTACCTGGCCTTAAGCTACTCTGTGGCCTCATATAAAATGAGAAACTCACACTAACCTTTGCTCCCCTGTGGCCTCACTGGAGTGTGTTAATACCAGCAAGAGGCCAGGAGGATTCAACAGGGCTCTCCAGCAAGAGTGTCCATCAACCTGAGAGGTCTTTGAGGGCAGGAGCCAGGCCACTGGGGTCTTGGGGACCTTCATTTTCCTGGTACAGAATGAGCAGGGACCCAGATCTCCACACATTCATAGGGTTGCTCTTGCCATGCAGGCAATGCACCCCCACAATACCCCACTTTGGAAGCACTGCTTTGCTCCTAGCTTATTCCAAAAACAGCCCGCCCGTTCCTGGAGGAAAACCAAGCAGTAGTCACGAGGCCTGGATGCCTCGCTGGGCATGTTTGTTTGACCAAGTCTGTGTTCCATCCTTTCTCCAAGGAAGTTGCTAGAGCTGAACTTCCTCCTCCCTTGATTCATTATGTCTCCAAGAGCCCCCAGCTGGGCCCTTTCCTATCAAGATGCCTTTATGCCCCGCACACCTCTCTCTGCTCTCTGTCTTCCTCTCCGTGTGTCTCTGTCGCTGTCTCTGTGTCTCTTTTTCTCTGCCCCTTTCCCCACCCCCTCCCCGCCCTGTCCCTCGCCGCCGCCTCTACTGCTGTTTTCATTGATGCCTTGAGCAGAGCTGGCATGTGCGACTGCTGAGAAGGGGGAGCTTGGAGCAGCGGGGGAAGTGAGTAAAAATAGCCTGTCGCGCGCGCCGCTCTGCCTGCTCCGGACGCCTTTAACCCTCACGGAGAGGGAGAGAGCCACAGCCGCCACTGCACACTGCGGAATGTGGCCCGGGTCTGCACCAGACTCCGCGCGCCAGTCCGGGTGATGGCGGACCAGGACCCACGAAACTATTTTTATTTTTATTTTTAAAGACAAGCAGAGCTGAGGTGGGGTAGGGAAACACAGGGGAACAGCTATAGCTACTGAGCTGCAGGGACTGCTACGTGCTGGCTAGCCCAACACTTTACCAGAGCTCGGCCTTGAGACTCCAAGCTATTTTTAGAAGCCTGTTCCTCGGGTGGGCGATCAGAGGGCGGAGGGGGAGGGGAATGGAGAGAGCTGCTCTGCTGAGATGCTGAGCGCCTGGTGCTATACTCGGTTTCAAAGGTCTGCTTTCGGGCTGGGGGTGGGGAAGAGGATGGACCAAGGAACGACATGCGGGCTGGCTTTGCCCTAACTCAAGGAGAAAACATTAGCTGCTGAATGTCCCGTGTCTTTCAAGCTCCAGAGCATGTTTGTTTCAAAAAATCGACAGTTGCCAGAGCATGCTGCCTCTAGTGCCCAGGAAATGGGAATTCTTAAGCTTTGCTGCCTACACTGTGGGGTGGGGGATGAGTTGTGACCTCTAGGAAAGAAGGCCGGGGAGGGTCTTCACGTTGTTTTTGCATTCCCGCAAGGCCGGGACAGTTCCCGCGCCACACCCCCATCCCCGCCCCACGCTGCATATGGGTTACCGTATGTGAAATGTACGGCAGCCCCACCAGACACCGGGCTATTAATAGAGCCCCGGAGTTTGCTCTGTGTCTTTTTCCTGCCACCGAATAAGGCATGATCACACACACCCCACTCCGCCCCCACCTCGGCACTCGGTTCCTCCAAGAAGGTAAGGGGGCTGACCACACCGATCCCCTCTGTGACTACAGGTGCCCAGAGCCAAGGAACAATCCCTTTGTAATGACAACAGGGTCAGAGCTAGGTGAAAGAACAGACTTGCTCTGGACTCAAAGCCCCGCTGGGCTCTCTGAAGATCGTGGCAAACTCCGGAGTAGAGAAAGGGCAGCTAAGGAGCTGCCCTAAGGGCTGCCGAAGACGGTGGGCAAGAGTATCATTTGCGGAGCTAGAGCGGCCTCCTTAAAAGCTGCTGCGGGACAAGTGACCGCAGACCCGTTTTGCGCTGCAGCCTAGCGCGCGCAGCCCCCACCGCCTTGTGCAGGCTCGGCTGCGGCAGGCGCTGTCCCTGGTGCTGAATGGGGCCGCGGTCGGTGCGCCCTCCCGGGGTTCTGCGCTCCCGTGTCTCCTTTAGCACTCCTGAACTGCAGACCTCCAGTCCAGCCGCGGTGTGGGCTGGAGGGGTCTGGTTGCAGGTGCTTGAGTACCGCCATCAGGTCGGCCCCTGAGGCCGGGAGCTCTCCGCGGTGCTGCTGGGACCCGGAGGTTGGGGACCGCCTCGAGCTTGAAGGATAAAGCCCAGGCAGCGGTGGGAGATGGTCGAGGCACTGCAGGGAGCAGACCTGGCCCTAATATAATCCACCTCAGCTCTGCGTAAAGCCGAGATCCGAGATCACTGTAGGAATCCAGTGCACAGGGGCAAGGGAGCAGGGTTGCCCAGGGTCTGGGACTTGGGGGGAGCAGTAAGGGAGCAGCGCAGGTGGCAGAAGAGAGTGCTGGGGGTGAAAGAGACTTTTGCATTTTTAAGAGGGGGAGCTGAGACATGCACAGTCGCCCCCCCTCTCTCTCTGCCGCCAGAGACACAAGCCGGATGGGGAAAGTTTGGCACCGCGGCATCGGTAGTGGCAACAGCCATCGCCAGCACACTGGGATCTGGGTGGGCAGCAGGGTCGCCCAAAGCCCCGGCCCGGTCGCCTCCTTACCTCCGTGTTTTCGACTGCGTTCTCCGCCATTTTCCTCCGGAGGAGCAGGCAGCGGGAGGAGTGTTTCATGCCCATAAGAGCCAGCAAAGGTTTGGGGATTCGAGATAGTAAAAAGAGAGAGAGATGGGGGGGGGGCTGGTATGGCTTTAAAAGAGAGCCAAAGAATGCGAGAGGAAGGGGAGAAAAAAATCCCCAGTCAGCCCCTCTGCCAGAGCGTCCTCCGCGACAATCGAGCTCCGTGGAGTCCCTTCTGCGGTCGCCACTTTGTTCACGTTTCCTCGCTCCTCATCTGCCTCGCGTCCCTTCGCACGCTTCCAAGTTCTGATCGAGCTCGCGACCCCCTCCGCGCCCCTTTCCCCTGCGCTGCGGGCTGGGCGGGAGGGAGGCTGCCCCGCGGGCTCGCCGGCTATAGCCGCGGTTCCGAAGTCCGGCAGGAGGGAGGCGGACGCCAACTCTCCCAACTTCTGCCGATCGCTGGGCGAAGCAACACGCGTCCTGCTCCGCGCTCCCGGGGGCTGAGCGGGTGAGTGGGGGCGGGGTGGGAGGTGCGCGGGAGCGGGCGGTGGCGGGGCGCTGACGGCGGAGACCCCCAGACCGCCCCCGGGCCCGGGACCGCGGGGTCTGGGGGCCGCCTGCGCTGCGCTCCGCTCCGCTCCTGACGCGGCGCACACCTGGCGCGGGGGCTAAGGCTGAGCGCACGCCGCAGGGCCGCGCGCCAGGCTGCCGGAAGCCGGCGTCCTCGAGGCTGTCGGAGGTTCTCAGCCGGGGTGCAAGTCGTCCTAGCTAGAGCAAGCCCCAGGCAAGACTCAGCCACCGTTAGCTCGTCTTTGTCGCCCCTCCCCCGCCCCCCCCAGGAGGTTCCTGGATTCTTCGCGTATTACGGTTTGGGGAGTGAAAGGATGTGTCTGGATAGGGGTGGGGGAGCCCTTAACTCCTTCAACTCTAAGACTGATTAGGATGTCTCTATTTAGCCTTTCCTTCACCCTCTGAGCCCAAGACTAGAAGAGCTCCAAACCCCTCTCAGAGGGACCGGGTTGGGGTAAAGGTGGCCGCCTAGATGGCTTGGAGGAAACGACCAGGAACAAGTCAATAAAAGGGCTGCGGTCCAGCTTTCCTATCCTCGATTTGCTTGACAACCCCCCCCCTACCCTGGGCCCACAACGTTTCTCCGTCTCCCCCTTCTCGGCCCCTCCCCCACCATCACCAGATCTTGAAGTCCCTTTTATGGGAGAGAGCTGTGAGGATGTCACGTACCCATTAGGGTTCTCTCGATCCTTTTTTAAGGGAGTTTGGGCGGCAGCGGGGGGTGTGAATTTTTATACAATGCATCCCTGTCTTCACTTTGAGAGCTTTTTTCTCCCTTTCGGGCCATCTGTCAGGCACTGGGGGGTAGAACAATGGGGGAAGGAGACAGCACTCAGGACCCTTTAGCTGGCTAACTCAGAGACAGCTGAGCCTTCAGGTTTTCCAGGCCACAGGTCAAGGCCGGGACCTCACAGATGCCCCCTCCCCCCACCGGAGCATTCTGCTCTCTTCATTTCGGTTCTAATTGGACTTTCTAATCCAATTGTCCTACTCAGTCTGATCATAACCTTTGATAGCCAGGGACTGCAAGAGTGACTGTCCTCAACTAACCCGGATCCATTGAGGAAAAGGGCCAAACCAGGCTCAGCATGATGGATTCCTCCATCAGACCAGATCCCCAGGCAAAGATACACTGCCACCATAAGTGGGGGTGAGAAGTGGGGGGGGGAACGGGAAGAGGAGACGATGGAGACGATGAAGAATGAGAAGGATTAAAGAAAATGCAGCAAGAAGCTTGGGTTAACTGAACCATTTAGTATATGCTCTGAACAAGAGTAAATTCAAATGGATGGCCTCGACCTTCTCAGTCCACAGACCTGAATTCGAGATGGGTACAAATGAGCAGATAGGTCTTTGGTAATAGCTGGGTTTTCTTCACTACCATCCTGACATTCTTCCAAAAGTTGTACGGGGGAACTGGGGTATAAGTGCATCCAAGGAGTGACTCTTACCCTCTGGCGCCTCCTGTTTTCTAAGCTTTTTCTCCCAGATAAAGACTCGGATGCTGGATCAAAAGAGGCTCAGTACTTGTACAATCAAATAACACTAGAAAAGCAAGATCCACACCCACACATTGGACCAGTCCTCTTGCAGATATGGATCCTAGACCAGAGAGAAGGGGACATTTGACAAGCTGTGGGAACATCTGAAAGCAGCTCTTCAGCCTCCCGACTTTCAACCCAACACTGTCCCTACCCCACACTCCTTCTGCTTGATCATCCGCTCTGTGACTAACAGGGGAGGAGGGGAGCCCAGGCAGGCTCCCACCGAAATAGGCTGCTGCTGTGCCTGATTGTGTTGCTATGAGAACCTCAGTGGGGGTGTTTCCTCAGTTCTCTGTTGAAATCTTTTGCTGTGCTTGGCTTCTCCCCAAGTACAGACGCAGCTCCTGTTGGAATAGGGAAGGGACCTAGAGAACTGTGTTTTGACATCCAGAGTTTTTTATTCCAACTGAAAGCAGTCTGGGACACTGAGTGAGGTTATCTAGGCCACTAGGGTTGCTCTGCAGTGGCCAGAGCAATGAGTGACCTATCATGGTTGATGCTCCTGCCCTCCTTGAACCCTCCTGGAGCTGAGATACTGTCCCTGCTGTGCACCCACCTAATTACAAATTCACAAACGGAAAGGCAGAGCTTCAAGTGATTTGTTACTCCTGAAGACTGGAGATAGGTGGTTCAGGCCTCCACATGCACCCACACACTTGAGCACATATGCACACACACAGTGAATACATACACACACAACATTAATTCTGAACACCCTTCTCCTAGGGTTGTGAAAATCCATGATATATGGAAAACACATAGTAGGCCCTTTCAAGGTCTATTTCCTCAAATCCCCTCATTCTCAAGAAGCCAGCCCTTTTCCATCTCTTTTGCATAAATATCTGCGCATTATCTTATCAAGTTAAATTATCCCACATAACACTGACTGGGCATCTCTTGGGTGCCTTGCTCACAATAGGAACTTGGCTTAACAAGACAACAGAACCCACCAGACTTCTGATTTCTCAATTTTTAGTCACCTTGAATGCTTGGAACAGACTGTTTATAAAGCTTTTGGAGAGAGTTTGGTGGCAAGCAAGAAAACGTGGAATGATAAAGGTATTCCATTTGCCATGGTGTGTGTCTGATGTGTTCTGTGGTCAAGTGGTCCCAAAGACCCATTAGCTCATTTCCCTTGCACTAGACCTTCAACAGAAAACAATGTGTTGGATGGCACACAGGTGCTCAGAACAATGCTGACCTGGTGGTAAGAACACAAATAGGTAAACATTTGCTGCACGTTGTCTTGGAGCATGAGTTAAACTTCATAGAGTGTTTTTCTATGTTGTTGTATTCTCTATATCTGAACAGATTCTCATGTCCTTTTGACTACTCTTTGGGGTATTGTCTCCACCAAACAAAATACAGGGGAGATCCAAAAAACACAGGGAAAATGAACAGAGACAAAACCCAAAGAATTGCTCTCAGAATGCAATCAAAATGGAAGTCTGAGATGCCTTATTCCATATATGGCTCTAGAGAAGTTAACTGAGCTCAAAGAACAAGACAGTGGCTCCTAAGCTTAGCTGCGTGATGGAACCATCTAGTGAGGTTTAGACACACCAATGCTTTGGTTCCTCCTCAAGTGATTGTTATTAAGTAGATCAGGGCATCAAGAGTTTTTAGGAGTTAATTCTAATAGAGAGCCATGTTGAGGACAAATGGATACAGATATCTGGAGACAAGAACTGTGTAAGGTCCCTGAAGTATAGAAAAGACACCCGGCCCTGGAACCGCAAGAGCTGCCCCAGTGTGGAAAGGTCTGCTTCTAATGCACACTGTGTTTTCTCACAGTGCCAGGTTACAATCCCAGGTTACAATCCCAGCAGGTTCTCTGTCGGCAATCTATCACTGAGCCACATTCACAGGTCTTGGTTTTGCTATGTGGTCCAGAATGGACTAGGACTAGGAAAACCCCCTGCCTTTGTTTCCATGGTACCAGAACTGCACCTGTGTGCTGTGACACTGCTGCCAATACTGGTTCTTGAGATCTGTGGAGGGGAATGAAGTTGTGCTGGTGCCTGGGGTGGCATGTAGGATAGAAATAAAATCCTTAGGGAAGGGAGTCATGGGAAGAAGTTCTCTGGTACTGTGAGATGCAACTGAGGAGCTGGGCTTTACTTAGATTCATTTCATGACAAAGAGGTTGAAACACCAGAGGAAGTGATTATTTACATTGTTCTATTATGAAATAAAACTTAGGAGTCAGATATTGGGGTAAAACCTGATGGATGCAAAGAGCAGTGGAGGAACGCTCATCTGATCCTGCCTCTCGACATTTCTAGATTGGAAATGTAGACCTGAGAATCTTTCTAAGCCTCTCCTATTCCTTCTGGTGTCTCTTTATCCTAATCTGGGTCTGCCAAAACTCTATGGTTAATTCTGGTCAGCTTAACATTGACTCCATCCTCTGATTCAAGGTTTAAGTTTGTCAGTCTCAGAGATCAAAATATTCCACAACAGGAGGTGACTTGTAAACACGGGAGGCCTATATGTTCCTACTCATCCTATTCTGGAACTCCATAATTTTGCCTAAAGGTCCATGCTGGGATCCCAGAACCAAACATTTCCCTGGCTGCCTCAACCACTACCACCAACCCAATGACCCAGAATAAGGATGCAGCTTCCTTAATTGAGAGATCATGCTTGGGAAGATGTAGGTACAAACTCTGGTTTGCTCCAGCATATAGATCTGATTTGTGCATCCTTCTTGACCCCTCACATGTAACTAGGGCTCACATAGGATGACCATACACTGCAGTGAATTCATGCCTCCTCAAGAATCAGGCCACAGCCATTATTCATCACCACACATGGCAGCTAACCCAGCAGCGTTCTGAGGGTTGTCTGGGCCAAATGGACTCCAGCCAAGGCTGCAGGAGCCACTTACCTGGCTTGCAAACAACCCCATACCTGGGGTTCTCCTGCACAAAAGCTTCTGCAGCTCTTTCTTCCTGACCTAACGCCCACTGTTTGTGTGTGTGTGT